AAACTGAACCCTAAGAAGTCCCTTATCATCAGTTGCTTGCAGCTTAAAAGGGGCAGAACATGCATGTCCCCAGAAATGCAATTCATTAACTTTTAGGGGCTTTCTTCTGCTAATCACTATGCTCTAAGTGAGGCTTCAAGAGGCTGTTGCCTTTTTTTTTTTTTTTTTTTTTAATGAAACCACAAGGCTTAAAAAAACCACCCATCCTCATCTCAAGAGGACAACGACCGAAGTCGGACTGCAGCCTTCTAGGGGAAGGCACCAAGCCACTTACACTCAGAAAAGCAGGGAACAGGTAGATAACAGCCACAGGGCTGTTCTCATTTAGGCCAAGTCCTGCCTGTAGGCAAGCGTATCCGAAAGGGAAGGAGACAGGAGGGAAGGAAGCTCCGCCAAAGCAGCGGCTCCCGCGCTGCCAGGAGAAGGGGCTGCTCTGCGCCGGCAGCTCCTCGGCCACGCGGCGGTGCCCGAAGGCAGCAGCCATCCTGCATCCGCACGGCTATCTCACCGCTGTTAGCGGCGTCTCAGCTAAATTCTTGTAAAACCTGGTCTTCGTAGACAGCTTTTCACACATCAGCACGAGGGCAGCGCTACAGACCCCGGATTAGTGAACGCTGCGGGTGAATGCGTTTTTGTTTGCAAAAACGTTTGAAACAGCTTTTACTGAAATAACAGAAGATCACAGAAACACCTATTAGAATATTAGGAGGAGGTAGTAAAACAGCAGCTTCTTTCTCATCTGGTTTTAAAGGTCTGGGTTGGTGGGTTGGGGTTTGTTTGGTTGGATTTTTGCTAACTTACCACCGCTCTGGTAAATCGGACAGCTGGTTTCAGGGAGCCGAGCTCGGCTCAGCTCCTCCGGGAAGCTCGGCCGTTGGCACGCTCAGTCCCAGCCCGCGGCTGCCGGGGACTCCGACGGGACAGGAGCTTCCCTGGGGGACAGCTGGGATACCCCAGCCCGCCCCGAGCGGTTCCTGGGCTCCCGCGCGACCCCATCTCTGGTAACGGGCTGGTTGCAGGGAGCGACGCTGTGACTTTCTCTTCCCCCTCCCTGCCGCACGGGCAGCCTGCTGGCCCAGCTCCTTACGTGCTCGCCGGGCGGCTGCCCGCACGCGGGCGCCACGTGCTTGGTCTGCCGGGGCCTCGGAAGGGCCCCCGCCTCGGCCCCCGGCCCCTTCCCTCCTCCCGCTTGCAGGCAGCATGGCCTTATCTTGCTACAGCCTAACTTCGTTGCGGGGGAGGCTTCAATTAGCAATTTATGTCCACATATTCAGCGTTACCAACTCCAAGGATTCAAAAATCATGAGGCTTTTAACTACAACATTTTTGGCTCATTCTGCTGAGCCTTTTCATTTTATTCAGGTAATTTTTTCCAGTTTTCCTCTGCAGCTTATGGCGACTAGGGACTACCCTTTGCTAAATGAAAGCTACGAGTCTTAGACATCCCAGGCTTTACAGAAAGAAAAAGTAATCGGTATCAGAAATTTCATGATAAAAGTCTCAGGAGCTATCATTACCACATATCCTGGCGTTGTACCTGGCAGGCATGTGCACTGGTGAAGTCAGGGAAGAGAGTTTATTAATGCACTTTTAATTGGAGAAAAGTTTTCTGACATTTACTTTTCAGAAAGAAGCGGTTTCAAATTCAACACTTTAGGCCCTTTCCTGCCAACTCCATTTAAATTAGTGAGTCAGCTTGGCCCAAAACCTGATAGCTGTTCTAACCACCTAGTGTATTTTGAGCGCTACCTCAAGTTACCAAAACAACCTCCCCTGGTTGCAAAGCTCCTCTCTGCAGCAAGTACGAACAGGATTTCGAGAATCACATCACTAGTGAAGCAATTTTTTCCACTCCAATAAGCAAGCTCAACATTTCAAAGAGCACGTCACCTGAGATGTTCTTATCAAACATGGGCGGCTCCTCTGGATTTTGATTATATAATGCCATTTTATTTATTTTAAGGAAGTGCTAAGCTAATTCAAACCTTGCCAATCTATCGTGATGCATTGCTTGCATTGCAGTGGCTTCACTTGAGAGGGAGGCTTGCGTGCTAAGCGTCGTACAGACGCTTCGCCAGAGACCCTGCCGCACGGAGCCTGCAAGCTCAACACATGAGGCAAGGAAAGGTCAACGATGGGAACAGCCACGGAGAGGGAAGCAAATCCTGCAAGGCTCACAGCAGACCAGGGCCTGTCTGGGGTGACTCTATCTGGATGCAGCATCCCACCTGCTGCAGTGCATTAATGAGCCTTTTAATTTAGGTGGACCGAGCTCACAGTTCCTAGGGACGTTAACTAGCTCTGCATCTTCTTGCAACCAGAACCTTGGGCAGCATCACCTCAAAACACCCCCTTAACTGGGCAGCTTCAGGTGATAAACAGTAACGCGCAGCAGAGGGAACCTAACTGCCTGCACGCAAGGTCGAGCAGCAAGTCACAGCGACAGAACCAAGATGCCTCTTCTCCAAAACGCCTCTGACTTCATCGAACTCTCATCTCCTTTTCACAGGCTGGAACAGGGAAGCATGAAGCAGGGATGCGACTGGAAAAGGCCACTGCCAGCACAGTGGCCAAGTCCTGTGAATCCTGTGTCCTGCAATTGCTGAGCTCTAACTACGGGACCACACAGCCTCAATAGGATGGACTCCAGTGCCAGAGGAATGGGTTTAAGCCTTGATCCCGACTTGTGCAGTTATTTTCAGGGCTTTAACTTTTAGCTTTCAATTTAAGATACTTGATAAAGCATTTGATTTCCCAGAATTGTTGCTTTTTGAAAGTCATACATTTTTTAAGCTGTCTCAAGAAAGGCAACAACACAAAAGCAGAAACTGAAGCATCCCAAATCACTAGTCACTACTGAAAAACGCAGCCCAGTGGTCTGCATTCTCAGAGACTGTAAAATTGCAAGCATGAAACCACCAGATGGTAAAATTAAAAAGACTATATTAAGAGAGTATCCAGACAATATGCAAAGCGCATATACTGAAACTGTTATTAACTTCAAAAATACAGGTTAGAGGAGTTCTGCAATTAGAAGCAACTACAGAAGAAATATCCAAAAGCTCATGTAATCCTTTAATAAAAGGCTCAGCAGGCTGTAAACATCCTGCCGGAATCGAAGATTATTATTGAAAATAAAATGGATGGTTTGCAAAACAACTATCAATCCAACACAGGAACAATTTATAAACTCCCCTCCTCAGCTCTCAACAAAACAGTGCCTGACCCAGCTTTTTCAGGGCCAGATAAAAGAAACGCAAACTAACTACAAGGACTGGGAGCTGCTTTGCTTTCGGATATCCTGCTGCGTCCTCATGCAACCATGCATCTAAATCATCAATTAACGCACTACAAAAGACAGGAATTCAGTGCATGGAGCACCGAAGGCTCAGCGCCAGTCAGGAGCACTGGGGCCCCAGGCTCTGCCCTGCGCTCCCTTCCCTGTCTCCAGCTGACCAGCCCATCCTTGCAGCTCACACCCCAGGAAGCCAACCCACAACTCATTAGCAACACAGGTTCTGGCTCTGCTGTTTCCCGCAGACAGTGAAGCACAAGCTAAGTCAGGTCCTCACATCTCTTCTGCCAAAGGCACGCACACACTGGGGCACCCAGCAACTCTTCCAAAGAGTTCTCTCTTCCAGAGAACATAAAGCTGGCATGACCCAACTGTGTCTTCAAGATCTCGTTTGAAATGGCTTCCACTCCATGCAAAAGCAGATTCGAAAGACAGCACAGTCGAGTGGGATCGGCCAAACCTGCCAAAGAGCGCTGGCAAACTACTGCGGACTTTGGGAAGAACAAAGCACTTGGGGAAGGCGCTGTAATGCTGCAACTAGTCAAGTTAGAAAAAAGTAACAGTTCTTCTGGTGGTAAAAGGTTATACACTTGTCCCTGAACCCTGATGCCACCCACCCTCTGTAGTTTTAAGATGACGATGTTCTCTTCCTTACTGCTCCGTGAACAGCGAAGAGCAACAAAACCAAGTAGAACAGAGAGCAGACTGCCTTGAGCCAAAGCAAACAGTCCAGCACAAAAGTACAATAAACAAGATTCAGGGGGGAAGAGGGGGAAGAGATGCTTCCTCTTTCAGTCTGAGGGACCGCCATAAGAGACGCGGTAGAAAGCGGCCAGAAAGCAGTAGATTTTTCAGCTAAGTCTCCGGTGCCACTGCCACTACGGAAGGGGCTACCGCGAACTGCTCTTAAAGCATATAGCTCTACAAGCTCCTCACCTCTTTGGGCTTCTGACAAAGCACCCAGAAGTCCAGGGGACCCAAAGTCCCCCAGAGCTGCTTCTACTCGACGGACCCCAACCCTTCAACAGGGCCCTGAGGACTGTGCACTCCCTGGAGGTCGGTGGCACAAAGCTCCAGCCAGATACTCAGCTGTGTGGTTTAAGTAATTCATTTCATCATTGAAAGAATATTCTGGCAAGGTTCAGATTTCCTTCAAACAGTACTAAATCGTTCCATAAACTTGTCTGTAATTTCAGGATTCTACATATATTTCTAAAGGATCTTGCTTAAGGATTTTTTTAATAAGAAATTAAATGGATATTCTAGTGACTTCCATATTACTCTTGCTATTCACATGGTTCCTTTAGGCCTTTTTCACAACTTAATGAGCTCTCTCAAATATGTATATATGATCCTTTCACCACCGGAATCAGGGGAAAACAGAAGGCTGATTTTATGGAGTAGACAACTATGTAATCATTCAGCTAGGGGTGAAATTCTTCCTAAAGATACACAAATCCAACTCCCAATGTTGTTTTTTTTTAATTATAGTAAACAGTGCCAGTGCTGTACACATACACATGCAACAAACAGAAAGGGAATTCCAGAAGTGATTTAAATAGTTTTTTTAAAAATTACACTGAAAGGCAGAAACTTTGGCCTCTTTGGAGCACAGGCCTCGCTGCACTTTTGTTTTTCAAAACGCACAAGAAAGAAAGAAAGAAAAAATTCAAAATATGTACTGCTCACTTGGGCAGGAACTTACCTTGCCAAATTGTTCAAAGTATTGCTTTACGTCTTCCACTACTGTATTAGCCGATAATCCACCTACAAATATTTTCTTTGTTCTTGTGACCATCTGTAAGAAATTACAAGACAAGTATATGATTTAACCAGATTATTTCAAACAATATTTAGAAAAAAGAAATATTTTTCAGATGCCATCCCTAACCCAGTTAATGAGAATATTTCTTTACAAAAGCAATTCAGATTCTATTTGATTAGATACTTTTTTCTTTGTCTTGTTTTAATTTGAGAAATGGCTGAGTAAAGGCACTCAATAACAACTCTAGCCCCCGGATATTTTTTTTTAATAAATGATTTTTATTGTGCTTCTCAATGCAAATATAAGTTTAAAAAAAAAAGTCTAAGTGTAGTATCGTCATAGCTGCTGTCTCAAAAAGACAGGCCGTTTCCCCCCCTCCCTGCTTTGTTTTTTAATCCTAGAGAAGTGCATGCTCTTCAGTAGACAAAAGATAATTATATCAAACCTAAGTGACGTGTTATTAGGTTTCCATGGGTTGGTTTAAAAAGAACTTGCACAGTTTCTTTTAAAATAATCAAATGACGTAAGACAGCAACAGCTACACATGTAGTCCTCTGGCTGCCGCAAACCCCGTTACCACTGCAATGCCCACAGCATTGGTGCTCAGCAGGGCACAGCCAGCCCCCGGCCGAATCCCGGGGCTCTCCATGGCCCCTACGGACCACGTGGCTTTTCTTGCTGACCCTGATCCCCCCCCCCCCCCACTTTGGGTTCAACCCACGAACAGGGGAGAGGCAC